ATATATATATATATATCTGTGTGTGTGTGTACACGTGCCGCAAGTCGTGGTCTATTGATTGGCGGGTTCATTGTAAGTTCCCTCAGGTCACGGGTTCGATACCCCGTGGCGCAGGAATGTTGAATAGTTAGGCACATGGCGCAGGCTCTCATCATGATGCCTTGATGAGCATGGAAACCGATATTTGAGCCTCTGCAAAATATCGATTTCCTATGGAAAAAAAGAAAAAAAATATATATATATATATATATGTATATAGTAAATCACAAATTCTTGTTGTTCATACTACATGCCTTAATATATTTTAATGTTTTGTTTTAATAGATAGTGATTATTTGTTGAGTATGATTTGTCAAACTCACCTTTAGATATCCTTTTATAAAGATTTTTACCGATTTGCTTGTGGACCATCACCATAGGAGTACATTATTCTGCATTAAACCTCATATTTTGTATTTTTAGTTTCTTTATCAGATACTGTAATTCGTTTAGGTTTTAATAGTTTGATTTTGTAATTGTTTCATTTCATTTTGCTTTTATTAGATGATGTCCAACTTAATGTTTAATTGTTGTTATATGTTTTGGTAATAAATTTTACTTTATCAGCTTACTCTTATTATTTATATTACTTGAATATGAATGATCACTTTTTCAGTACAAAAAAAATGTTCATGCCCGTTCATCATGTGTCCTATCGGCAAGATATACCATTTTTGGGACCTAGGGTGTGGCATAATATTTATGCTAAAACACCAAAATTTTATTTATAATCGATTTGGAATGCTCCCAGAGAAAATGGAAGATGCTATTTGGAAGGCATCCTTGCAGTACATTGAGTTTGATTTAGTAAAAACACCAATAACTTATAATCAAAATAGTCAATCGAATATCATTCATGGAAGTAAATAATCAATAACTTTCCCAAATTTTTTTTAAAAAACTATCAAAACCTATTATGTAACTTCAAAATTAATGACCAAAAATCACACAAAATGTGGTATGAGACAGAAACATTTCACATTCGTGCATCAAATTTGCTTCCATGCTATGTATTTCAAGTATTTGTACACGTTACATATAAGTATGTTGATAACTTTTGTCAACAGCGTAAGATACAACCACAAACATATTCTCCCTTCACCTGTTACTGGAAGGAACATAATATTTAATATTGAAGGAAAAGTAATTAAGCCAGCGCATGTGACCAGCTTTATTATCATTAAAAAAAAAAGCCACAAACATTTCATGGAAGGATGATTCCAAAGAAAAAAATGTGTTAAATAAAACAAATAGATGAATATAAGGCCCCGTTGGGGTGGTTGAAGTTAGAATATATATATATAACATAG